AGCCCTGCTATGTTCACAGCAAGGATATTGCACCACTCGATTCAGTCTGTGGCTGGCAAAAACTTTTCAGATGTAAGATTTTAACGTTAGTGGTGGGCAAAAAAGGGAACAAGAGCTGTTCTTTCCTCCAAGAGGAAATTATGTCAGCCTAAATTCTGCTGCCCTCATGCAGTGTCCTTACTTTGAAATGGAATTGGACTAGGCCTGTTGTTCTCCCATTCAGGACTACTGCTTCTTTTAGCATTCTGTAGGCAGCAACTGGTGACTCCAGGCTCCTGCCCATAAAGATTTTGCTCCTGCCCATAAAAACATCCACCAATTACTATTCAAAATTTTATTTGATTTCTGTAACTGCCCATTTCAACAAGTGACTCTGGATGTATCATTGCTCGGTAGGTCGTTGCTTGGTGACTTGGTATTCTGCTCATTTTTTAAAATGGCGGGATTACTGACAATGATCTCCCCTGTGATAGCAGTAAGAAATCCAGCTACAAAATTCAGCAGAGTCAGGTGAAATTGCAGTGTGCAGGAGTGGGGACAGTGGGTTTTTTTGGGGGGACCGAGAAGAAATTCTTCCTGGATAGTCTAAATATATTTTCTTTGCTGCTGGATGTTGCTGTGCCTCTGGTTGCAGGGATGGCCCTGTTCTTTGGTAAATGAATTATCAGTGAGCCTTGATCTCTGACATGGAATGATTTTATGCCCATAGTCTCTCATTATGCTCACATCCAAGCAAGCATGGCTGCCCTTGTTAGGGTGAATCAAGATAAGGTGGAAGTTGTGCTAAGCCTGGTCTTAGCATTTAAGATGGTAGAGATGTTGATCAACATCACCTGCCTTACCTCAGCTACCTGTAACAGAAGATAGCATGGAAGCTACAGAGTACAACTTTCCTGGGATGGATAACCATGACCAGGACAAGTTCAGGGACCTGAAGATTGTGTTCTGCAAACTGTTGGAGAAGCACAAACAACCAGTTGTTTACCCTGAAAACTATGGATGGTTGACAATGACAGGTGAAGAGTACCAGCACTCTTAAAGATAAGGAGAACTCAGTAGGTACGGTATTAGCAGCCAAACCTAGATTGCAAACTCTTCCAGCTGTACATTTAAAAAAATATTTTTCAGCCCCAGGAATTGCTGGCAGCCTTTGCTCCTTGACTGGTATTGCAGGAACCAATGGCAAGTGTTTCATTGCAGTCAATGGTAAACAGAACATCTGGTGGTATCTTTGCCTCTTATTTTTTTTAAAAAAAGATTTTTATGTTTTAGACAAACATTTAATACATCAGTTTTCTCTTCCCTGTGACATCTCGGTGTTATCTTCCAAAGTTCTTTCTTTTTCTGTATAGTTGTCATTACTTCTATCTTGATCCTTATCCAGTCCGCAATATCAATTCATCACTAACATAATATTCAACTCATCACATATTTTTACATACTTATATAATTAATAATTTATATCTCTTCTCCAACCAATAATAAAAATAATTCCATATTTTAAAATATTCTGAATCTTCTCTATCTTTAATCATCAAAGTTAATCTATTCATTTCTGCACAATCTAAGATTTTTTTTATTACTTCTTCCAAATGTATTTTCTCCGCTTTCCAATTTTGTGCATAGACAATCCTTGCAGCTGTTATTACATGTATTATCAGATAAACTTTTTCCTTGCTAATTTTTTCAGGTAGGATACCCAGTAGAAACAACTCTGGTTTAAATTCAATACTTTGATGTATCATTTCCTCCAACTAAGTCTTAAGTTTAATCCAATAGTTTTTAGCTTCCGGACATGTCCTCCACATATGATAATATGATCCTGGTAATTGATGACACTTCCAACATTTAGCTAATTTTTCTTTAAACATTTTTGCTAATTTCTCAGGTGGCATATGCCATCTATAAAACATTTTATATTGATTTTCCTTATATGCAGTGGACACCATTAATTTATAATTCCTTTCCCATAGTTGTTGCCATTTTTCCAAATCAATTGAATATCCAAGTTTCTTCCCCAAGCTATGATTGTTTCTTTTACTTGCTCCTGCTCTAATTCAATACTAAGCAAAAAATTATAAATTTTTAAATTAAATTATCATCTGTTCCCATGAGTATCCTATCCAACTTAGCCTTTTCCATATAAAACCATATAATTTAGCATCCTTCTCATATATGTTTGTATCTACATATACATATACATATACATATACATATAGTCTGTCTCAATCCCCTGTCCTTCTAGTTCAGATCTTTGCCACTTAGAAGGGCATAAAACACATCTCCATTCCCACTTCACCCTAAAAATACAAGCAATGGTCTATTGACAGATTCCAAAAGTTCCTTTTGGACAGTTCCTGCAAGGAGTTTTCACAGAACAGCACCCATCTTGCATATTCCATACTGGACTGCAAAAAATGTTTTGGCTTTCCAGAAATTCTTGAAAATCAAGTTCTTTTGGAAAGCCAATGGTGACTGATGGCCACCATTTTATGACTTAGAACTCCTGCTGTACATATTTTATTTTAAATGCTTGGCAATAGAGGAGGTAGGGCGAACAGGAATCAGTTAAGTGTTCATGCTTGAGCAACATTTGCAAGAAGTATTAGACTACACCCCCCCCCCACAATTATTCTCAATTATCAAGTCACAAGGAGATAGTAGATAGGAGAGCCTGAACTGGTAATCCAAAATGTTTTGAAACCCAACAAGAAGATTGGGTGGAAATCCTGGGATTCCTAGGATCCTGAATTCTTTAGAGAATGCCAAAATTTCTGCATGCACCCTGGGACATAGAACATGGAAACAACACTTCTATGGAAAAGAAAGAATCTATCATACCTTTTATACCAGCTTTAAAGAGCCATCCAGGGAACGGCCCTTCCAGCACCCAAATCAGATGAGGAGGCATGGGAGTCAGGGTCAGCATCAACCTGAGAGCTCCGAGGGGGAAGAGGGAATGGAGCTGGCAGAAAAAGAGAGAGAGAGAGAGAGGTGGGGCCTGGGCCATCTGTCAGCCCTCAGATGGCGAGTCAATAACACCCAGCTCACAAGGTGGCTGATGAGGAAGAGGAGGAACAGCTAGGTCCAGCCTGATGCACGAATGTGCAGAAGGCAGAGGAGAGGAGAGCAGTGGAAATCTGTGGGCTGATCCTTGGGAAGGAAGAGTCACTGCTGCTAGCGAAGCCCCATCCTAGCTCTGGGGATAAAAGGCAGGGGGTGGAGATAAATAGATGTGGCAGACAATTATTCATCTCCCCTGCCAGATGGACTTGTTAGCCTGAGGTGAAAGAGAAACTTTTTGACAGGACTGCTGGTGCTCCTAATAAAGGAATCATTGCTTCAACTACAGAGGGTTTGTTGTGTTGTGGTGTTGGATCAGAACACAGTCTTAGGAAATTTATCTGTCAGCTGAGTTGTTCCTTTTTTGATGTTATTCACTAATATAGCAGAATGTTTATTCCCCCCCCCCTCCCTCACCCAGCAAGAATCTGTAACAAACTCTAGGAAAAAGTTTATTATTGTAACAATTTCTCAAGGGCAGTGTCCAAAGCTCATTTTTAGGAGCAATGGTAAAACAAGCACATACATAAAAAGCAAAAAAATATGTCCATTGGAATATAATATAATCTTGTTCTCATTTATGTAACTCATATAAGATTACAAATTATTGATTAATAACATTAAAGATTTTAAAACTTTAAAACCAGTGATAAAACTCTACACATTGCTTCTGCCTTTCATTTTCATACTTAAAACCAATTAAATTAGTTCCAATCCAATGTATGTCCTAGGTGAAAAAACACTATGGAAGGCAGTGTGATTATTTTAGATGCATGTCTCTGGATATGTCATTACAAAGGATGGGTGTCAATCTACTCCCATGCCTGTCAGTACAAAGACTCCCTGCTCCCCTTGATTTTTACTTTTTAGCACTCCTTTAATGACAAAGTGGAGAGAAAGTGGCTAGGGAGCATGAGCTAGAATAGTTTTTCCTTTCGCTTCTAATAATTGGGTGGTTTATTTTACTGGTGGCCATGTTGGTCATGAGCATTTTAAGAGGATGCCCATAACATGCTCTCAAAGTTCCAAAATTGTTCACTGTTCCCACCTAAAAAAAAAAATCCTGTATACTTCTGACATATCAGTGTAACTTTGGTATCTGATAGATGCAGGGCCTAAAAGCAGGGGTGTCCAACCTTGGCCAACTTTAAGACCTGAGGACTTCATGGCTGGCTGAGGAATTCTGACAGTTGAAGTCCACAAGCCTTAAAGTTGCCACGCTTGGGACATCCTGTCCTAAAACAAAGTGTTTTTGATAACTAGCTCCACATTTAAGGGATCCTTAAGATGACAACAGTGAACTCTGAGAGGCCTTTTGGAGCCACTCTTTCAAACTAAGAGAGGAGCTGGACATCAAAGCAAAATGTGATCGCTTCAGCTTCATCACATATTGCTGATTCTTATTGTAAAGTATTATCAATTAAATATATATCTAAAAAGTTATTTATTTCATGTAAGTAGTGCTACTTAGAATAACCATTGTAACATCTGGGTCTATTCATCTGCATTGCTTCATAAGAGGAGTTTAAAAAGGAGAAGCAAATCCCATTTTAAAAATAGAGAACTGCATATGTGTATCAGATCGCTAGCCAAACACTGCTAAGAAATGTACTTCATCAAGTAAAATAAGCATTGCCCTGAGACACCTGTAGGCATTAAAAGGAAAAAACTGCTAATTAGCTCCTTGTGCTTCCTAGTATGGGGGCATTGCTTTCTTGCATTGCTTAAGAATCTAGCAGGAAATTAGCCAAAGTAACATTATGTTTGGCTTCATATAACGTGACAAGACAAAACGTGACTTGTCTGTTTGTGGCTTACCATCTGATATGTATCCAGCTAATGGATTTTATAAACAATGGCTTAGTGTGCATGAACATAGTCTATATTTTACATTTTTATACAAACTGAAAGGGCAGGACAGAAAAGAAAAACAGAGATCCAATTAACAAGCTGCTTTAATATCTTCAAGGATTTTTTTAATTAAAAAAGATAAACTGCATTATATGGAATGCTGAGAAATAATCAAATATACATTAGAAGCAATTCTTAACAATTCAGAAATAGAAGTCAAATAGGCCAGCCTGGACAACTATTATCACTCTATATCAAATAAACATAGAATTACACAAAAGTAATGATGTGCCCAATTTTACATTAACAACATGTTTTCTTCTAAGAACTCAGATACAGAACTAAATATTTAAGTTACTAAAACTGAGCTGCTATAGACTTCCTTTTCATAAAGACCTCCTTCCTGTTTTATGTTGCTATTTTTACTGTCTGATTTAAAACAGGAGAATCTTATTTACACAAAATTCCAGCCCCCAACAATAATGTGTACACAAATTATACACATTAGAAACTATTTTGGACATGAAATTACTTAACAAACATGCCTTACTTGAAAAATGATATCTAAACATTGGCTCTCACCTCAATTATTCCATCTTGAAAGTTTAAGATTAAATAGTGAAAGCATTCTTCGCTGACACCAAATAGCATAAAAAATAATTGTGAAAATTAGTTTTCAGTAGCTATATAGAAAAGAGATTGGAAAATTGGACAACAGTGATTTTATGTATCACCTGCTAAACCTCAAACAATTTTTTTAAATAAAGCAGCTGAATACTACCTCAGCATGCTGTAGAAAGTTATTAAAATTGAGAGTTTTAAGGATGTATGATATATAGTAGTCTTGACTTATGACCACATAAGTCATAATTTGGATAGGAATAATTGAGCAGTGGTTGTTAAACAAGATGTTTTGTTCAGTCACCACAATCCTGACACACCCGACTGTAGTCGTTAAATAATTGTGTGAGTTGTTAAGCGGAGACCCAGGTAAGGAGCGCAGGGTGCCTCAGGAGAACGGAAGAAACCCAGAGAGGCTCCAGTCAGGAGCTGAAAATCATCCTTGCCAAAATCCAAGCAAGATTTACAGCCTGAGTAGAGACACTCATGCACAGCCTGCACTGGGTTTCCCCCATATGTCATCCCGCACTTCTTTCCTTACTACTTTGACTCTCTATTCTCTGCTTGGATTTCGGCTCCCTCTCATCTCTGGAGGCTGGCTGAAAGGAGTTCAGCTCCCTTCTGTACATGAAAGGACATTCTGTACATTTCCCAAATCTTCAGGATTTTTAGCTCCATTTCTGCATCCTGCTGAAGGGGCTCAGCTTCCCTTAGGAGGCAGCTCTTTCAGTCAGCTGCCAGAGATGAGAATGGCAGCAGCTTGCAAACCTTCCCTGCTGGCTTTCTTACTGATTTTCTAGAAAAGCTGGCAGAGCAGATTGCAAATGCCAATCATATGATTGCAAGGCACTTGGCAATAACCTGGTCATGAATGTGAACAGGTTGCCAAGCACCCAGATCAGGATCACATGACTGCAGGTGGTGGTGCAGTGTTTTGCAAAGGCCAGAAGTGCTTTATGGGCTGCAAAGCACCTTTCCAAGGACATCATAATTCCGGACTGTTATTAAATGAAGTTATAAGGCAAGGGCAACCTGTAGTGCAATGAACTGAGGAAGCATAGGAAATTTAGGAAGTTTTCTTCCTATTGTTTAGGCCAGGGAATACCTGGTGATGATCTTCTGGCTAGAACATCAAAAAAGTGGAAGTTATTATTTTCATATTTATTTCATTCACTTTTACTGATATAGTGACACTTGAAAATTGTGATTTAGCATAAAACTATGTCTTTGTCATATAGCTGTCAGATTTTCAGGTTAGTGGCAATGGAAAGAATACTAGCTAAGAAAATGCTTACTCCCTGCTTTAACGGAAGTATCATTCATTACTTCAGTACGTTCATTCACAGAATTTCCATCTTTTTCTACTTATGTCAGATATCTGCAGCAATAACAATAATCTACAGGAAACATAAGAATAATAAAAGACAACCTAATGTTCTTGTCCCTCAAAATCAATTTGTAAGATAAATATAGAGGGGTAAAACATTTAATAGTAATTTACTCTTAAATATGAGGATTATTTTGTTCACAGTTCAGTTTTTACAATAAAATAATAAAAATAAAACAGTAGTTGGAATATGTGAAGAGCCACCAGGAAACAGCTTTGGAAACACTTTATCTTCTCCTGTATGATATCTAAATAAAGTTCCATACCTTCTCTAATGTTTTGTTTTATTGAAGTATTTTTAGCTATGGCCTGGTGGCATTTTGACTCGTTGTCCTTTGCTTATAGCTGTCAACATATAACCTGCATAGGCTAAACCAAACAAGAGCTAAGTAACACACAATGGAAAGTCGATGTCATATTTTCCATTCATAAAATATAGTTAATATCTCTTGTACACAGTAGTTTATTAGCCCAAGTAGCTTTCTCATTTAAGACTCCTCACGTCGATCAGAGATTCCATTCCTCAGCCGGTTATGTCTTTCCACAAAAAGCCGCTGAAGATCCTTCCTAATGTCTGGATAATCTTCTAGATCTTCATATAATGAACGAACAATGTCTAATTCCCTGTAGTTTCCTGGTTTCACTAATTTGCGGATAACTTGCAGACATCTTTCCTTCAGAGTGAATACTATCGAGAGAAGAATGGACTTTTAATGTTTGGTTTAAGATACTTAAAACTAATGTGAAACAAGCTTAAAGATCAAATAATCTTATTAGCTATCAAAACAAAAGTCATGGCCCTCCATGATAAATTAGTCTTTAAAAAAAGGGAAACAGCAACAATGATAGAAACTGCTTGAGAAACAGTATTTATCTACTAGATTTGCAGTGAATTTTCAACAGATTGTAAAAAATATAAAGAGAAGATTAGTTCTGGAGATAATGAATTGCAAATCAAGGCTGCTGTGAATGAGAGAGAAAATAGACAGAATAATTGCTAGTTATATATGAATGTTGAATAATTTATGCAAGTTGATGAATTTGTGTCAATAGAATGTCTTATTAAAGCTGGAAATACAGATGGACAAATTTTAATGTGTAAGTGCTGACAGGCAGGTAATAGGCAGGTAATGAGTAAGGTAATGGGTGATATATTGAAAGGATGGATGTTTGTTGAAAGAAATGAAAAGGCTATGTGTAAAAGGGTAGTTCTGGCCACTTTGTTATTTGGAAGTGAAAGCTGAGTATGTCAGGAGAAAACATAAAAATTGAATGAAGGAATGAGATGCTTAAGAACTGTATCTGATAAAACAAGAAAATATGGAGTGAAAATAAATGCTGAGTGTTTACTGAATCCAAAGTAGCACACTGGGTGGTTTTGTCATACAGAGAGAATAAAGAAAGACTTAACAAGAAATACACAAAGGAAGAAGGAAAGAGATAAGAGGGAAAGGAAGACTAAAAAGGTTTGGTGCAGTTGATATGATCCTCAAAATGAGAGATATCAGAAATTCAGAGAATTTCAGTTATTGCATATTTCAGACAAAAAGAAGAGAACCAAACTGCTATTTAGTAATTGTATTGTTTTTTATCATACAATAGAATAAAACTATACTGTAATCTTATTTCAGATATTCAGTGCTAACTTTACCTGGCAATGTAATATTTGCGAATATAGGTTGTCCATTTGTATTCCGAGTAGCTACAAACAGCTCTGTCTGGTTAACAAGAAGACTATCATCTGACCTGGCATCTCTGAACAACCAAAGATGTTCTAGAAAAGAAAAAATAAAGTATCTACTAGCAAGTCATATACATATATTGAAAAGTCACATATTTTTTTAGATATAAAGATTGCTGGAAGGGAATGTAAGTTATCGGGTTTAGCAAAATCCACAAAGATTAAGACTTCTACGGAATGGGAGACAATCACCAGTATAATGAGAGGATTGTCAGAACTAGAGTGATACACAAGTAACTGTGCAGATACAGTTAATATTTCTGAGTGTGTTCTGAGTCACCCTTGACTAGACAAATCCCTGCAGTTTTCTTGGCAGCATTTTCAGGAGTGGCTTGTGCTTGCCTTCTTCACAGGCTGTGATTTATTTGGCAGCTAATCTGACCATTATCTTGTTTTTTTAATTTCCTAGATCTTTTCATTTTTAATGAAATACTACATGCTATTTCTGTTTTTACTCCATTTTAGTTATTTTTACCGGTTTTGATGCTTCAAATAGTCCTGATAATGTTTATATTTACACTGAAATATAAGAACATACACACACATACACCCCTTTATAATAAAGATATTTTACGGAATCAGTCCCTTGAAAATGCATTCATAGGGCTTTCCTCCTTACCCAGTGCAGGAACAGCCACCGTTTTTTGGGCTCAGAAATGTGCCCTGCCATTCTCACTTTGCCCTGGCAACTACAAATGAAGCTCTGCATTTGTACAGTTTTCCTGACTTTTTTTTTTTTTAATGGGGAAAAATTGAGAGGAGCTCTGCTGGTTTCTCTCCTAAAATGAAAAACATCTACTCAAAAACAGACCTAGGGTGGGAAAAAGTGGCATTTTCTTCACAACGCACTCGGGAAAGATGGTGGGGGGGAAAGGTGGGGAGGGGTTAATCCACCAAGTCAGGGCTGTAGCAACCACTATCAAGACCTGTTCAGTATCAATCCAAAAGCCGCAGACCCCCTTTTTCTAAGCTTTTCAGCAGAGAGAATAGGTTGTTTCCTCCCTCCCCCCGAGCTTTTATGTGCCGTCTGAAGTCACCGAAAGGCCAGCTTGTTTAACAAGACCTTCCCGTTCAAAGGCTAACCCTGCAGACCTCACGACTTCAGCATCACCCCATGTCTTCTTGCAAAACCCGGTGCAGAGAATCGGGCATCTTCTCTCTTTTTAGCTGCCTCTCGGGGGCTCCGGGAAGTGGAAGGATTTCCCTAACAAAACATTTTGCAACATTAGCCCCTTTTTGCAAAGGGATTACAACCCGACAGCGGAAAGGCGGCGATCCCCATGCCGCGCCGCCTCCGTTAAACCGACCGCAAAGCGCCCGAAGCGCCCCCTCCGTAAACTACCCACCCAGGTAGCTGTACATCCGGCGGCCGGTGCCCGGTTTCAAGGTGGGATAGGGGCGCGGCTTCCCGTCGAAGTCCAACCAGACGGGTCTCACCAAGCGGGGGGTGCGGTTGCAGAAAATAACTTGGCAAGGCTCCCGCGTGTTTACCGAGCACAAACGCCGAGCAGCGTCTTTCCGTTCTCGCTCCTCCTCCTCCTCCTCCCCTGGTTTCTGCGGCATCCTGAGCGCCTCCGGTCCCGATATCTCCCGCGACCCAAATCAGGGAAGACTTACGCGCGCGGATATCCGCGCACGCAAGCGGCCATTATATTGCGGAGAAACAACCCCCCCCGCCGTTCTACGCATGCGCACCCCCGACAGCCATTGTTTTGCGGAAATCGCGTGCCTTAGACGTGAAGGGCCCGTAAGCGCTTGCGCAGTTCGGATGTTTTGGAGGGACGTGCGGTAGGCTGATGTTCGCTTTGAAGGGGGGAAAAAAATAAATCATATGACCAGTATACGGCTGTTTTGCAACAATTGCTTGAAAGATACATTATAATCCTATAGTAAAATGGTTACTTCTAAGAGAATATCATTTGGCTGAGATTTGAATTAATAAACACTGGGAAGCAATGATCAGAGACTTTTTTAAAAAAAATCCCAGCATTTGTTATAGACCATCTGGTTAGTTCCAAAAAGTATTTTAATTCACATATTTTAGAATGCTCTGAAAATTTACTGAGGGCTATTACTATATTCTCCTTTGATGGAACTAAATTCATTATTATTACCTTGTTCGTATCTTCATAATTTTTAAAATCCACCTTACAAGTAGTGTTTTCCAGGTGAGTTACAAAAGTGCATAAAACATTTAAAACAACATAATAAAATAGATTAATCTTGCTGCCAGATAGAGATACATTTGACTGTGTCAAGTGACATATAATCCTAAAATACAAAAATAAGAATATGAGCACAGGTCATAAAAGACAATGGAATTTTCATCTACCAGTATATCCCAACATCTGAATTGTTTGTACCTATTTACTTATATCACAATTGTCTATTTATCCACATATATTTTGGGAAAAAAACACCTCTTTCCACTCTGGGACCAAAATATCTTCCGATGACCACATAGTAGCCACTGTCTAGATTGTATGGCAGAGTAAAAATGGTACTGTATCCCCCCCCCTTTTTTTTTCAATAAAGCCCAAGCCATAATATAGGTAACTGAAGTGAGGGGCTTCAAAAGTAGCCTTCAGTACAGAATGGGCTTTTTCATGTAAAGAGTAATTGCAGAAGAGAGCCAGTGATAACTTCTCTGCTGTCACTGTTGCTACTTTATCCCATTCCCACATGAAAAATGTGTTGGGGTTCCAGGCCAGAAGTAAATTCAACCACTCCTCTTTCTCTTCAGCCATCTTTCCCCCTTCATTTATGCCATGCACTGTCAATGTCCTTGCTAATAGTTAAACATATACATTTCTTAATACTGCATGGATTGTGTGATATAAAGTTATGATAGGGAATTGTGAATTGGCCAAACAATGATGTAGTGTTTTAAAAATGGTTAATAGTTGATAGCAACAGGAATATTCAGCTTTAAATTATGATGGAGAAGGGAGTGCCAGTTCTCCTGCCTTGAACTCCTAAAGGAAAGATAAGAGATAAGTCCATTTCTTTCTTTCTTTTAAAACAACAACTCATTTCTTTCCAAAGAAAATTTATCATGGGGCTGAGGAGAGCTGAACAAAATAAGGCAGTTTTTAATGTCTTTTTCTCCAAACCTGTGAGTTCTTAAAACATTTTTATAATTCAAGAAAGTTCTTAACTGAAAATTTAACATCAAGGAAGTGAGTTGGATTGGTTTACTTTCAGAAAAGTTTAACTTAAGACCACATCAAAAGAAAAATCTAATTCCTTTTACAATTTTGAGATAACCATTTACAAGGAAATTTTTTACCTTGCTTACGCAAATAGAAGCCTGTTTTACAACACCAAAGGTTGTATAATATTAAGAGCCATCTTTCCTTGTTGAGTATGAAGCATAATACTATACGAAAATGTATTCAAGGCAACTTTTTAGCATATGCTTGTGACATTGGAGTCCCAGATTCAAGTCACTTTTAGCTATGGAAGCTCCCTGAGCGCAATGGAGCAGCTCCAGATGCCACTGACTGCCAGCCCAGCGTACCTTAAGGTTGTTCTTGAGAGGGAAAAACAAAAGGGATGTAAATCTAATAAAAATCTAAATATCCAGCAAAACACAAGATATAAGCACATATTAGCACTTGGACTTATCTATTAAGTGTGCAGTTAGATCCTAAAAGTATTTTCTTTGCTACCTGCCTCTAATAAAGTGATGACTCAACACTGCTTGAAAGACACGTTTCTTACTATCTTTTAATCTTTCTGGAAGAAATGAGATTGTTCAAAATTTCCTTGAAAGAGGCGGTGGTGAGGCCCCTCCTCAAGAAGCCTTCCCTGGACCCGGCTGTATTAGCGAACTACCATCTAGTCTCCAACCTTCGCTTTGAGAGTGTGGTGGCGCGACAACTTCCCCAGTACCTGGATGAAACTGTCTATCTAGACCTGTACCAGTCGGGCTTCAGGCTGGGGTACAGCACGGAAACGGCATTGGTCGCATTGGTTGATGATCTCTGAAGGGCTCGGGACAGGGGTTGTTCCTCTGTCCTGGTCCTATTAGACCTCTCAGCGGCTTTTGAACTATCGACCATGGTATCATGCTGCGCCGGTTGGAGGGGTTAGGAGTGGGGGGCACTGTGTTGCAGTGGTTCTCTTCCTTCCTCTCTGACCGCACGAAGTTTGTGTTGGTAGGGGGACAGAGGTCGACCTCTAGGCGCCTTGTTTGTGGAGTGCCACAAGGGTCGGTCCTCTTGCCCCTCCTGTTCAACATTTATGTGAAGCCGCTGGGTGAGATCATCCGTGGTTTTGGGGTGAAGTTCCATCAGTACGCTGATGATACTCAGCTGTACATCTCCACCCCGGACCACCCCAATTATGCCCTTGATGTGATGTCCCGGTGCCTCGAGGCCGTGTGGATCTGGATGGGGAGAAACAAGCTCAGACTCAACCCGTCCAAGACCGAGTGGCTGTGGTTTCCGGCGTCCACGTATATCCAGCTGGTTCCATCGCTGACTATTGGGGGTGAGATCTTGGCCTCCTCAGAGAGGGCTCACAACTTCGATGTCCTCCTGGATGCACGGCTGTCTCTTGAAGATCATGTGGCGGCTGTGGCCAGAGGAGCTTTTTATCAGGTTCGCCTGATTCACCAGTTGCGTCCCTTTCTGGACCAGGACTCCTCGCGCAAGGTCACTCATGCCCTCGTCACCTCCCGTCTGGACTACTGTAATGCTCTCTACATGGGGCTCCCCTTGAAGAGCACTTGGAGGCTCCAACTGGTCCAGAATGCGGCTGCACGGGTGATTATGGGAGCGACACGGCACACCCATGTAACACCTCTCCTGCGTGAGCTGCACTGGCTCCTGGTGGTCTTCTGGGTGCGATTCAAGGTGTTGGTTACCATCTTTAAAGCGCTCCATGGCTTAGGACCTGGGTACTTACGAGATCGCTTTCTGCCACTGATAGCCTCCCACCGGCCAATACGATCCCTCAGAGAGGGACTCCTCAGGGTACCGTCGGTCAATCAATGTCGACTGGCGACCCCCAGGGGGATAGCCTTCTCTGTGGGGGCACCTGCCCTCTGGAATTAATTGCCCCCGGAGATATGGATGATCCCTGACCTATGCGTCTTTCGCCGTGCCCTCACGATGTTTTTGTTCCAACAAGCTGGGCTGGCCTAAACATGAATTTTAATGGTTGTTTTAGTTTTTTTTAATAATATCGGGAATTGCTTTTAAATTTTTTGTATATGTGTGTTTTAGTGTTGGCTGTGCACCGCCCTGAGTACTTCGGGAGAAGGGCGGTATAAAAATTTAAATAATAAATAAATAAATAAATAAATAAATAAATAAATAAATACTACCTCTACTTTCTATAGTAATTGCCAGATGTCTTTATCGTATTCAAAACTAAGAATATCCCTTAATGAATCAGGTCAAAGGATTAGATTTAAAGTTATACGTATTAAGCCAGTGATGGCTAACCTTTTTGCCATCGCGTGCCAGGAAGGGAGGGGCGGGGGAGGTTTGCACGTGCATGTGCCCACACCCATAATTCTATGTGCCCCACCACGTGCATGCGAGCGCCACCCCCCCTTCCCCCCCCGCTCCTGGCACGCGATGGCCCGGTGGGCCCGTTTTTCTTTCTCTCCTGGCTCCAAATCCTCTCTATGCATCTGGGGAAGGCGAAAACAGCCTTCCCCACCCCCTCAGAGGCCGGAAGTTGGGAAACGGGCCATTTCGGGCCTCTGAGGTGGTGGGAAAGGCTGTTTTTGCCCTCCCCAGATGCATAGAGAGGATCTGGAGCCAGGAAGAAAGAAAAACGGACCTCCCCCCAGGCCCTCTTCTGGTGGGCCCAAAAGGGCCAAAAATCAGCTGATGGAGCTGAGCTGGCGTGCCAGGCTTCGCCATCGCTGTATTAAGCAACTGATATATCACTAATTAAAAAGTGCACAATCACATCTAGTTTCAAAATTCTTCACTTACAAAACAGCTGTTTAATTAGATAAGTTCTTCATTTATAAAAGATTGATTTATAGTGGGGCAGAGCAAGAATCAAAACTGATTCTACGTCTGCTTTTCTCAAAATTGCTTCATTAGAATATCAAATTTATTATTCAAGGATTTATTTAATATTTAAGAGACTGAATATACCGGCTTTAAACTATTAGTTATAAATTAAAAGGAACAAATATAATTGTAAATATGAATAACAGTTTCTGATTTTCTCTGAATTATGTTGTTAAATATGAACAAGTATATCTATATAACCTGCCTTACAAGAAACTGCTTGGGTCATTTGATATGTATGAAAATAAACACCAGGAAAATGGACAGATAATCCTGGTAAAATTTTTATTATATACAGGAAAAAATATGTTAGAAGTCAGTGAATATCAACAACTAATATGAGAAGCAAAGAAAGCTTTGCAAGACTTTGGAATAACAAGCTGATGGTGGGATCTACCGTATATTTATTGTATAATTCTTGTTAATTTGGACCATATTTGAGAATCATTACAAGTTACTGTCATTTAGCTACTAAGCACATTCTTTAGCTATTATTTTCAGGTTAAAATTAACTTATTATAAATATTCTCATGTATCCTGCAAGTTCCAATCAACAATACATATAAAGTTTACTAATGCATTTTTAGCCTGAACTCTGAATTAAAACGATGACAAAGGAAAAGTATAAAGACTCACACAACATCTTCTCAGTTAGAGCTATAACAAGCATATGACAGTAAACAAAAGATTTAACTCTTACATTTAGACAGCAGATAAGGAAACAGTGAGATCACAGTGTGTAATTCAGAGTTTATAAAAGTTAGTAAAACTGTACTAACATTATTGTCCCTATTTTAGACAATAAAGTTTGTAAAACTGTACTAACTTTGTTGCCCTTATTTTGGATGCCAAACAAATTAAAATGGAGGCAATTCTCCAGTGGCAAAATATTATATACTCTTAACTAAAGAAACTCTAAACTGAACAATATTGAAGAAAACAATCCTCTAACATTGTATTTTGAAGTGTCTCTTCTGAAACTCCTATTATTAACCTTTTCACCAAATTGGATAGCTTGCCTTATGAATATGAAAGCATTTGCACTTTTGCACAGTAACTGTCATTTTCAGGCTGATAATAAAACTGCAAGCTTTATCAACTTACTACATTTTCCTCTTTAAGTGCCTTCAAGAGCTTCAAGTTGGATTTGGCACAGTATGTTTACTCAGTAGTTCATTTTGCGGAACCACTTAATTTTGAAACACTGGCCAATTTGGAACTTCAAGTAAAGCTATTGGATTATGGAAGAGTGTTAGGCCTGTCTAAAATGTTACCAATATGATTTTCTCTGCTCAATTATTTCTGAGGTGCGTTTCAGGAGATATACAGCAGCACAGAGGCCTCCAACATTCACCCAGATTGTGTGAGACTTCTGCCACAGATGCCCCATTTTTGACAATGCCTGAAATACAAAACAATTCAAATTTTTTAATGAAGATTAGCAAATCAAATTCATTTGGTAAATAAATGCCTAACGGCAAAGATTTATTGCAATCCTGAACTGAAATTTCCATTATTTTCAATCACCAAATAGATATATAACAGGAGTTAAAAGGTTAAAAAGCCTGCTTCTGTTTCTTTTAGGAATCTAATTTTGAGGAACATTTTCAAAATCTAGAATTATACAGATTACAATTTTCTAAGGAAAAAGGGAGTGGGGAATGGAGAAAGAATGGAATAAGCATTCTTTGAATGTGCCTTAGTATATAAGCAAAGATATTCATTAGAGGGTAACCAGCATAAAATTATGTTATTCTTTTCATCTGTACAGCCCATCAGTACTCTTCTGTTAACCACATTATTAATACAAGATTTACAGTTATTAACTTATATCTTAACTTGGCTAATGCATACTGAAGAAAAAAATGGGAAGAATTATAATTAAACAAATATAATTGGAGGTGTTTTTTAAGTTCCTCTTGAACAATTTATCCATCTTACAGTTCGTCATATACAAGCTGCAATTTATCCTGGGCAAGATAAATGTGGCCTCATATCTTTATATAAGTATATAAGTAAATATTTACTAATGTAGAATTGGCCTTTTTCCCAGAATGTGGGATAGACAGACATCAAAAATTATTGCTATACAGCAATAGCATTTAAGTTTATATACTTCCCCATAGCGCTTTACAGCATTCACTGGGCAGTTTATAATGTAAACATTTGTATATTGCCCCCTACAATTTGGATCTTCATTTTATCAATCTTGGAAGGATGGAAGGCTTGAGTCAAGCCTCAGGGCTTGAGCCCTGGTGGCGTAGCAGGCTAAAGCACTGTTATTAACATCAGCTGCCTGCAATTACTGCAAGTTCAAATCTCACCAGGCTCAAGGTTGACTCAGCCTTCCATCCTTTCTAAGGCAGGTAAAATGAGGACCCAGATTGTGGGGGCAATAAGCTGACTTTGTATAAAATATACAAAAGTATGAAGGCTATTGCTTAACGCATTGTAAGCCGCCCTGAGTCTCCGGAGAAGGGCGGCATATAAATCAAATCAAAAAACAAACAAACCAAAAAAAAAACCCTGAATCCCATCAGGATCTAATTCCAGACTGTGGGAAAGTTTGCCTGCAATACTGAATTTAACCACTGTGCCACCAGGATTAACCTATGCCCTTTGTATGCTCTACTGGCCTAACTACTCTCTTTTAAAATGTTTTTAAATTTTTTAAATTTTAAATTTGTCTTATAAATTTGGGGTGTTTTAAATTTTGTTTTCTGGGCCAAATTATTTAATTGTATTCTAATGGTTTTTTAACATTTGTATTATATGTATTTTATCTTTTGGCTGTTCACCGCCATGAGTCCTTTGGGAGTAGGGCGGTATACAAATTCTAATTCTAATTCTAATTCTAATTCTAATTCTAATTCTAATAATAATAATAATAATAATAATAATAATACGTCCTATGTAAGGATTGCTTTGAAGATAACATACTATTACCATAGGCTAGCAAACCATGCCTACCTTGGCAAAGCATTTCCTATCTTCAGTCAACAGCACAGCTCTCCCAGTCTTTGGTCTACAAATTCGGGCCATCTCCATAAGGCTAGAGGGGTAAAGATTCCAATTCTTCTTTTTGGAACCCATCCTACAGTGAAATTGATTATCAGTAGAAAATGAGTAACTTTAGAAGTATTCACATCCTTAATTTTGACTCCATATTAATAGCTGTCCAGCAATGGTAAGTCATGAATATTATAACAATTTAAATTAGAATGAAAAACTGTGAGAAGCCAGGAAGTTGTACTATTTCTCCAGTTTTTATTCACTTAAGCTTGCGCCGTCCCCCAAGCCTGGCCTTCCTCCTCCCTCGTCGGCGGGGCCAAGAGAAAGAAGTGGGTGGTGTGGGGAAGTGCTTCCCTCCCCCGGCTGAGCCCCACCCCTCAGGAAACCGGGCCTGGAGCAGCGCAAAGAGTTGCGGGTCAAGCGCCGGAGGGTCAGAAGGCACACTCCCACATCACCCCAACATGCGTTTCCAGCGCACACTCCTCTGTCCTGAAGTGGGATTGAGTGGGGGACAGGGGGAAGGGAGCAGGGGGCAGAGTAGGGGGGCTTCTAGGAGGAGAAGCCCGATTGGCTTTCCTTTTGGCATGGGGCGGGGGGAAGACCCAATAAAAATCCAATTTCCCCCAATAAATGGGGAAAATAAAGGCCCGATGCTCCAGAGTCCAAAAAGGGGGGCGGGGTCTGTTCGTCAGAGGATCGGAGAGGAAATTAGTTGAAATCTGGGCAGGAGTTTATTCAGAGAGGGATCTGCCTGGGTCTCTTCTTCCCTCCCCCTTAGATTTTTCCCCTCCTGGTTTTCTTCCCTAGCATCATTTTAAGGGGAGGGGGAAGCAAGATGGGAAAATAATCACTAAAAGGCTGCAAGAGGGGAGCGGATAGAGTACCTCCTCTGTGGTATTGACCAGCTTTTTGCCTCCCCACCCGCTTTGGAGCATCTTCTGTGGGGAAGCGTAGGGCCTCGGTTGGAGGCAACGGGCATAAAACACAGCAGCAGCTCCAGACCACACTAAGTTCTCAGACTGGTAGCCCTCCGACCCTCTTTCCCTCCGCCCCCACAAGTCCAGAGGGGACTCCCCCCTGGGTTTCCTGGTTCATGTTTCTGAATCCTATTTTTTTTTCTGGGTGGGGGGAGGAAAGAAACTCTGCAAAATGCATGCTTAAATCTTGCGCTGGTGCAAAGTCCTGATTATTAAAGACGGGGATGGGGAAAAGATGCCATTCCTTTCCCAAGAACCCAGGGAAAGTAGAATAAAAATAGGTGTATGTGTGTGTCTCTGTGTGTATGTAAATAACAGCCCGGGATAGCTTCAGCCACAAACAACAGCTGCTGTTATTTTTGCTGAGAGCTTCTAAGCTACACAGCATTCTTTAATAAATATTAAGAATAACGAACCATAATATACAGGATTAAAGGAAGGAAAGTGAAATCAGAGGAGGTGGGAAGGAAGGAAGGAAGGAAGGAAGGAAGGAAGGAAGGAAGGAAGGAAGGAATAAGGAGGATGTGATGGCCCTCCAGAGGCTACTGCACTACACTCCTATCATTTCTGAGTTGTGCTGTTAAAGAAATCCAGCGTCACCAGGGAGAAGTCAAGTTGTGAAAGAGTGATTGAAATTCCTCACAAAACCTCATTATTCAGGTTAAATTGCCACATTGGCATTTTGTGATAAATAAGTGGATTTTGGGTAGCAGCTTGGGCACTCAGTCCCTAAAAGGTTCGCCATCACTGGATTAGTTGATGACATTCTGAACTATTTCTGATAAACAAGTCCATGGACAGTAATTTTTTGCTCCAAAAGCTATTTTTGAATCTCACATAATGATCAGAATCAACATATTTCTTATCAATAGGGCAGAGGAAGAAACTAAAGAAAGATAAAATATATTTGGATAGTAATCCACTGATCAGTAATTCCCCACCCCTGAAGAAGGAACAGAATTATCCCCACATATGGATCTTTTTACCTTTTTCCAAATGGCAGATCTGTTACAATGACATCGACAGAGCCGGTCCTCAGGGGGAGATTGCAGCTATCCCATTGGATGCTATCTATGGGTATTCCTGTAGAAGTGCTTATAAATTAAAAATTCCCATCAGCTGTACATTATTTCAAGGAGAAAGAATTGCTTAAACCCACATATTCACAATTACGAATTGATAAATACTTTCTATTATTTGGATGTTTAAAAAAACAAATATGAGATTATGCTACTTTTTTATTCTTAATTCTTACCTTTCTTTATTTTCAGTTTGCTTCAGTAAAGAGGAGATATTATTTGCTGTTTTCTTCACAGCCTGTGAATGGTTATCCCCAGCAATATGATAACAATTTGGCCAGACAGTAACCCCCTGTGGATGAGAAACATAATGACACACTATAGAGATGCCCTGGAAAGGATGGGATTTGCTTGCAACAATCCATTTGTACTGTTGGGAGGCAGGGTTTCTAAAAACAGCCAATCGTTGAGCAGACTGCTTATCTGCCTACTCTAAACTGCTAAAAAGCATTCCTTTGCTGTGTACATAAGAATTTGCCCATAACTAAGTTATAGCTAAGTTAAGTTATAACTAACTTAACTTGTTAGTTTTCTTGAGTTTTTGAGATCAAGATTAAGAGGTTTTTTGTACATTCCTGACCTTTTGGCTATACAATATCATCCTGAAGTAAGGACAGCAATTTGGGCTGGAATTTCTATTGCTAAGTGATGCACTTGTAAAGTGTGATGTCATCTGACCGCATTGCTTAGCAATGGCAATCCTGGAAATCCTAGTTGCCATTGTTAACTGAATCCCACTGGTGTTAGTCATGGACCCACTCTCCTCCAAACCATTCTTGGCTTGGTCCCTTCCATTCCTGAGCCTTGGTAAGATAACAGACTGCCTTCTCTTCAACTCACCACACTGGCCTTCTCTCTCAATCTCTTCTCTATTGACTGCCTTATCAGCTGGCCTGATGTTCCTGTTGTCTTGTGCTTGCTAGCCTTGCCAGCTTTGCCATCCCCAGCTGAACCTTTGCCATCTTCTTCCTGTGCTTGCTGATGAGGTGTGCCCTGCCTGGCCTTTTGTGAGGCAGCTGCTGGCTGCAACAGGCCTTCTTCCCGAGGCAGCACTCACCCCTTGCCCAAATTGCATGCAGCCTTCTTGCAAGGTTTTAGAACCCTAGAAAGCCTTGCAGGGGCAGCAGGCTGGCTGAGCCAGCAGAATGCAGTGCAGCCAAAAGGGTAGAGATGGGGCAGGGAGGCAGACAGGTGAGGGGACTTGAAGCACTAGTGTGGCTGTCTGCCAAGTAACTGGATTTTTGATCACACGACTATGGGAGTAATTGCAACAGCTGTAATTTCAGAGACCAGGTTAGCACAATTTCTAATGACTATCTGTAATGTAATCCGATCCGAGCCCAGGATAGAGAACAGCCTGCTCTTTTGGTTTCTTATCATCTATCTGCTACCCCCTTCAGTCAGTCAGGCAGTGCAAAGGTCTTTCCAAATTCAACTGCAATGTGCTAGGAAGTACTGCAGTTCCTGAAGAGTTTAGGCAAGCCGTAGGCTCGACATCTCTGTAACTATTCTGTAATGATTCTAATAAGACATTAGAGAAACACGTACTGTTTCTTGTACACATAGCATAGAAGTGATTTAAGTTATATATCCAAAAGTCAGATAAAATCTAAGTTGTGCAGACTACCCCCTATCAGTAAGATTAAAATGGCTGTATACCCTTCCCCATTTTATAATAAGCCATATTTCAGAACAGTTACTGCTATGCCAACATACCAGAGTACCTTTGCATGCTGATAAGATTAATATGGTGTGGTAATCTCAACTTCAAAGCCAAAAACTGAAGTTGCCAATAGATATACATATCTACTCAGAAATGAGAAAGACCCAATATGCTTGAGGACAGGGAAGCAGAGAGAGAACAGTACCTCTATTGGTATAGCACCTGTCCCACACATGGGATCAATTATTACATCGGCTGGCTGAGGATCACACAATCTAAACAAAACCAGGATAAAAAGAAGCAGAGTATAGTATTAAGACACAAAGGAAACTAACTGATCACATCATGGAGTGTGTGAAGAGCAAAATAATAAAATAACAAGGAAGCAAACAAAACTGAAAGCCAAAAGCTAATATACATACAAATATAGTATTATTAGTTTTTTCATTCCTCTCTTCCCCCTCATCAATAATTGATACCATCAAGAACATACAATGCCATCCTGCAAGTGGACAATTTGGAAAAAGGGTCTTCCAAATCACCGTAAGTACAACTGCATTCAATAGCTTTCTAGCCTTTTAACTTAGCAAATGCAATCATTCTCGTGATTATTCACTCATGATTTGAAGAAAACTTATTCTAAATGATGACAAGAATAGAGCCCCACTTGCAGGATGGTGTGCAGTGACCCCGTTGGGAAGGCCATACCTCACATTGGCTGAGCACACTTGACAGCAGCTTCAGAACACAAAGGTAAGTGAACCTGGGGGGGCTTGTGCCTCCCAGTCTGTGTCAGGTTTTCATTTGCTATTGGCGGGGGAGGCCTCCCAGTGCTTCCCCACTCCAAGGCACCTGGCACTCAACGGGCCACTTGAGCACCTTACTTAAAAACCACCTTACTTAGCAACTGAAATTCTAGTCCCAATTGTGGTCATGTTGAGGACCACCCATATTCAGATTCAAAGTAGAAAAGGTGCCGCATCAGGAAAATATTTATTTGAGCTCAGAAGTGGATAAGAGAATGGTGATAGGTTGCAACCATCTTGTTGCACTATCCTGGTAACTCCATTAACTCAAACATGTATTTTCTAGAACTATTCAGTTACTGTGTGAGCCAAGGAAAATATGCAGCTGCTTAAAGGAGGCATCAACAGGGGCAGCAGCGTGCTTTCAGTTTCTGAAGTGCCTTTTCCACTTCACATCTGAATAGCTTCACATGCATAACAATTTGAACATTTGGACAGCTCACTGTGTATTCCTATAAAATATTAACATATTCAAGATAAGTAAAAACTAAAGACGGTAAAATGAGGACCCAGATTGTTGGGGGCAATACACTGACTCTGTAAACTGTTTAGATAGGGCTTTAAAGCACTATGAAGTGGTATAAAAGTCTAAGTGCTATTGCTACTGCTACTAATGTTCCATATATAAAATGATGCATGGCATGGAGAAAGTGGACCAGGAGTTCTCCTGCTCTCAAAATACTATGTCTGCTAATCATTTAATGAACCTGATTGGAAATAAATTTAGAAAAGACAATAAAAAGCAACTCTTTTCATACAACACGATTAAACTGTGGAATTCAATTTGGATGGCTTTAACTGAATATTATGGAGAACACATGTGTCAGGGTCTATTAGTCTTGAGAGCCAAGTATTATCATTAGACTTGGGCAGAGATACCACTTGCAGGAGAACAGTGATGGAAGCGTATGTGTTCACCTCCTGCTTTTGAGTCATAAAGACCTCTGGTTGGTCTGTAAGAAACGAAAAGCTGGACTAAGATAGAATTTGCCCTGATCTGGCAAGACTATTCTTATATTTTAAGATGTATATGATTTTATTTTTTTAAAAAAATCCAAACGTATTTCCACTAGTAGAAAAACAGCTTCCTGCATGTCAATTCCATTCACCCATGGAAATTATAATTTAGGAAAACATTTCTGCTAGGGAACAAGTGAAAAGCAATATTACTACTACACTCTTTACATATGTAGGTCCTCTCCTCTATAATGATGTACTCTAAAGAGAATTTCCCAGAACTGTGGGAAAGTGCTCCATGTGCTCCAGAGAAAGAGAATCAGTAAAGATCACCCATCTTTACCTCATCCACCAGCAAGAGCAATTCCCTGAGTAGAATAGTTCTATCAGTAGAAAAATATGTAGACTCAATCTATCAAAAATAGATGTTTTTATGTTATGGTACTGATGGGCTGTAGTTCTTCATACAAAAATGCAATAAGTTTTGTATGAAGCTTATTTTTTTAAATGAAGCAAAACAAAGTAAAAACAATGACAAAGGAGAACTACCATAAACATCTGATGGAATAGTTTTAAACATCATGATGCATAGAATAGTAAAACCTATACATACCAGGTTAGAATGTATGGCATACTGCACAGTTTAGGGTAATTATACCTATGATTTTTAATTGACTGATTGAGCATTTGATTTTGGTCCAAATTTGAAATAAATTTTCACTCTTACCTCAACATTCCATACGCAAGAGTGGAACGAAGAGTTGTGGGCCCAAAATGTGTAATATTTCTTCTATGAAGACTCTCCTCTGTTAATGCAATTCCAACGATCACTTCATTATTGTGGATATTGAGAAGAACCTTGAATAAAGTAGATTAATATTTGGTAATTATTAATAGTAATGATAATAATATTAAGGACCGTAATTGAGCCTGAATTAGAACTGTAATTCATGCCAGTAGTTAAGCAGGTCACGTGACTGTGCCCAATTGCATGACCTTTTCTGTAGAGATTGTTAAGTGAACATCATGGTTAAGTGAATCTATTGCCTATAAAGGGTTTTTTTTGGCTGGGAAAAGTAAATGCCAGTTTGCATGAAAAAACATTGTAAATCATGGTCATGTGACTGCAGGATGTTGCAAATGGCTGTACATGCGGGCCATTTGCTGGGCAACCAAAATGCAATTATGGGACGCGAAGGGGAGAGGACCGGCAGCCAGAACCTTAAATCTGTAAGCGACCAGTCATAAGGTGAGGACTATATGTATTGTGTTTTAAACCATTCTTCCCACTGAACATAAAAGAGGAGACTTTCAAAGAATGAATGTTACCTCTACATCGAAATTGGTCATATCTGCTTTCCATTGAAAGAAGTCTTGTACAGCTCCTCCAAAATCTCTTGCTGCTTCATCTGATTTAAAGTTGTGGTTATCACCAGCTCTATTGCAAGTTACACGGAACTTCAGTGTTTCAGCTTCCATTTCTTGTTTCTTACCATCACCTGATTCCTCTCTGTTGTCACCATTAGATGTTATCTCTTCTCTGGGTTCAGACTGCTCATCGTCATCTGTTGGTACTATTTCATCAGCATTTTCTGGATCTGGGACTTCAGCAGATTTAAAATCATTTTGCACAGGTTTTTGCAATTCTTCATTTCCTTCTTGATTCTTGTTCTTATCTAGCTTCTCCTTCTTTGCGTGACTCTGATGGTTGCCCTTATTTCTTCTAGTTTTTCTTTTCTTAAGATTTGTATTTAACTTCCATACTTCCAAAGAGTTGGTCCAAGGGAGATCCTTAACCAAATCTTCTAAATCCTTTAAAGCTTCTTCCTGTAACAATTTAATAAAAGTTTTGAGACAAACTCATTTTATACAGTTGCATATTTTCCATATTTCAGAAAATGAATTCATTTTTGGAAAGCAATGGATAGTCTGCTAATATCTTCCGGAATGTTCTCCAAATAACGCTTAGCTGCTACTTACAGGTAATCCCTCGGATCCTTTAGCAAATTTTCACCAGAACGAATTTATTCAGAAAGGGTACTTGTGTTAGAAATTCAAAACTGCAATCAAAAACAGGCCTCTGTAGCCATGTGACTTGGATTCAGTCACTGCTGCAGTGGCCGCCATTTTCAACTCTGTGTCTTGCCTGGGCCGTTCAGGATCACAATGCAATTTCCTGAACCCAGCAGGTTTGTTTGGGTTTTTTTTTGTCCCTGGTCACATGGCCAAAAAAGATCCGGTGATTTTTGTAGCCATCCCAGCACCCAATTTTTGGGTTTTTTGGTGCTGTGTGTAGGATCTGCCTCGGCTTGAGAACTGGAGTGCTGGAACTGCTTTGGTAAGTATTTTAAAATATTCTTTTTTGTTACTCTATAGTACTGTACGTAAGCACTTTGGGAACTGTTGTACTTCTTTTTAAGTACCGTACTATACTTTGCAAACTACAGTATTGTGTTTGTAACTACAGTTCTTTGCAAAGATAAAGTTTGTTTGCATTTGTTTTGAAACTGCTTGTAGAAATGCTAGCCAGCATCTACACAAAGCATTCTATAATGTTGTGTGCTGTATCTCTTCTCTAAACTGCTGATTTTCAAATTTGAAAGCTATTTATATGAGTTTTTGGATTTTGACTGGAGAGGCTTGTGCTGATCAGGGCAGTGTTTTTTTTAAAAGAAGTTTTAAATCTAAATTGCCTCCAGAAGTTGTGGGTGCCCCATTAATGGAGGCTTTCAAGAAGAGACTAGATAGGCATTTATCAGAAATACTCATGTGAGAGCAGTGGGTTAGACTAGATGGCCTCAAGGTCCATTCCATCTCTGTTATTATTGCAAGCCAAGAGTTCTGTAAATCTCCATTGGTGCCTGGCTGGAAACTTTTAAGCTACTGGTAATTAGTGGCAGGTGGTTTTTTTTTTTTTTTAAAAAAAAGAAGCAACTGCAATTGGAGAGTTCTGTAAATTACACCTCCTCCCCAGCTGTCTGAAGACGCCTGAACTGATCAGCAGCAAGTTTTTTTAAAGCTGCAAATGGAGCTGCTTGGAGGCAATTTAGTTCCTCCTTTGGCTGTACTGGAAACAGCTGATTGGCAGCTGGGCAGGAAGTAAGTCAGATCTTCATTCATTTAATGAGCCATTTGATTCAATTAATGAATGATTTTAAAATTTTGTAAAATTGAGTCTGATTCATTTGACGAATTTTTTGATTTACAAACCTAATGGGTGGGGTCCATAAGGTTCTTACCTCAAGGACTACTTGTATTAGGGGCAGAATCTTTTTAATTGGATGCAAAGAATACAGACTGCCTCTCTGAGGAAGACCATATGTTAAGTAGTTTCAAATGATTCTTAAAATATGAATCAAATGGCGTTGTTTGGAGTTTTTCTTTAGCTTTATGTTGCTCTTTTTTTTAGTTTGATGGTTATTCTTCCCATTTTTATGCTTTTTGTTTATATATTTTGATATTGTGCACTAAGCATCATTGATTTTTCTCTTAGAGAACGATGAGCTGTATTTCAAAGAAGAGGCTCTATTCTGCAGTTCAGATCAATGCTCTTTAAGTCTTCATTTTTATAAAATCAGCAGCTTTGAGAAACAACTGCCTAAATTGTTTATTTTTCTCTTCCCTCTCTACTTGCACAGTATTTATTAAACTGAAAGTTGAGAAATAGAAATGAGATTTGGTACATTTCAGAAGCTTTGGAGAAAGGTAAAGAATCAATGCCACTCCCAAATAAAAGAATCAATAAATATTCTCAAACCCCAATAATTATTGAACTATTTTTGTAATTTAAAATTTGAATTTACTTAGAATCATGGAATAAAAAATAACTTACCTTAGTTGCTTTGAACTGATAATCTTTGAATTCTTGAACGACGACAAATAAATTATCAACTGATCTTAACTGGTGAACCTGGATGAAATTACAGATTCTTATCTTACATGACAGGTATGTATAGTACACTGTACAATTTTAGGGTTTACAGTTTCAGAGGTATACAAACTAAAACTGCTGCATTCCATAGTACTTTTTTTTTAAATGAAAGGTTCTATTTAAAAAGTAGAAAATAAATCTACCAAATATATTTAAAAATACTAGCTGGAATAGATGCATTGCAACTTTATAAAATTTGGTATAATGTGCTGTACTATATCAATACCAGTTTGCCTAGCTTCAAAAATGTTTGGATCAGTTTAGGGAAATCATGGGGATCAGTGCAGATTACTTTTGATAGGAGCGTGACTGCCTCTGAAGGCCATCGGCTGAGAAATTAATGGGATTCCTTGTGCAGTTGGTTGGCTGCTATGAGGACAGATTGTTGGACTATATGGATTGGTGGTCTGATCCACTTTGTGTTTATAGTCTATGTTCTTAATCCACTCACTGTGATTTACAGCTGTCCAACTCTAGCTTTTACCACAAATTATGATAAAACATATGGTTTAGTAAAGAGTATGAACCAAGTCCCAGCATTTGGATTCAAGTATAATTCAATATAATCAATGAATTATTACAGAATATCTTTCCAGAAGCTGGAATGAATGTTAGGCTATAAATCTGAAATTTATTGCCATCAGGAATACGTACGTGTGGGTAACCTCAAGGAATACTGTAGCCTCAGACCAATATTCAAATAGCAAATTGCAAGAAATAATAAAATTTTCAAACCTTTGGAAGACTTATAACTGGAATTTCAAAGTAGATCTTCCCACGGCCCTTGCTAATCCTAGATTTTGATCCTAATTTTTCTTGTACTTCATCTGCCGCAGTCAGCTCAAATCCAGTTGGTATAGTAGCTCCAATAGTAATCACAATATCATTAGGATTCTTTAGTTCTTCTTTATTCTCATCTAATGGTGTACTTGTGTCACTGAGGTTCATGTCAGATATCTCATCGGCAGCCTTTGCAATTTCAGACATTCTGGCAGTTTGGTAGCTTTTAAAGACCTTCCAGAAAGAAAATACAAATAAATAAGGAAACATAAAATAACAATTAAAATAATAGCTACAGACTTTGAAACAGAATAGGAGTAAAATCCAAAGCAATAGAAGTGCTTATATTTCTACCCATGTAAAATAATGTGCTTATTAACACATAGCATATCTAGATGGCGAGGTGAACTTTCAGAAGGGGGAGAGCTTCTTCTGTAGTGGCACTCAATTATGGCATTCCGTTCCCAGAGTGGTGCCCACATTAGCATCATGTTGGTGTCAGGCTTTTCATTGCATATCTTAATTCATATTGTTTTAATTTTTGAAAGACCACTTTGTTTCTGCCTAGTTTACATAATGCTTTTACTTTGTACAGGTAGTCCTCACTTAATGACTCTCCTGTTTAATGACCATTCCAAGTTATAATAGTGCTGAAAAAATTACTTTCCAGTCTTTCCACTTAAGACAGACACAATGTCTCTGCAGTCATGTGATCAAGATTTAGAAGCTTTGCAAATCTTAAAGGTGCTTTTTCAAGAGGCAACTGGACTTTCTGGTTCTTTTTTGAAGACGTTTCGCTTCTCATCCAAGAAGCTTCTTCAGCTCTGACAGTGAAACGTCTTCAAAGAAAAACCAGAAAGTCCAGTTGCCTCTTGAAAAAGTACCTTTGGGATAACCATGACCTGGATGACTAAGAATCTTCATAGACATCCAACTGCAAAGCAGGCATATGAAAAAAAAAATAGGGATGAGTACAGATGAAAGATCAAGAAAGTTGAGATGGAGGAAACTGACAAAGTCCTCAGAGAGCCATTTTTATAAAAAGTGGGAAAGAAAGATGATTAGGGGACTGGAGACTAAAACATATGAAGAACGGTTACAGAAACTGGGCATGGCTAGTCTAGTGAAGAGAAGGACCAGGGGAGACATGATAGCAGTGTGCCAGTATTTGAGAGGCTGCCACAGAGAGGAAGGGGTCAAGCTATTTTCCAAAGCACCTGAAGGCCAGACAAGGAATAATGGATGGAAACTGAACAAGGAGCGATTCAACCTGGAAAAAAGGAGAAATTTTATAACAGTGAGAACAATCAACCAATGGAGCAGGTTGTCTTCGGAAGTTGTGAGAGATTCATCACTGGAAGCTTTCAAGAAGAGACCGGATTGCCATCTGTCAGAAATGGTGAACGGTCTCCTACTTGAGCAGAGGGTTGGACTAGATGACCTACAAGGTCCCTTTCAGCTCTGCTATCTATTCTGTTCTGTTCTGTTTTCTCCTCTCTTCTCTTCTCTTTGTCAGTCTGCAAGGGCAGGGAGACGCAAGGATGAAAGACGTCGATCTGTAATATTCATTTTCTTAGCCATCCTTATTGCTTTGATTCGCCTTTTCTTATCCCTATTCTGGACTTTGAATAAAGTGCTTACCCCAACGGGCAATTCCGTGATCGGCACGTACCTCGGTACGCTGATCGGGCTGCTTTGTGGTTCTTCAGCCAAATTTAAAGAACACACAAATATCAACGCTACACGTGGGTTGCTTCGGAAAAGAAAAGGCTCTCCCTCCTCACCCGCTGCCCTCGTCCCCTGTATAACGCGAGGAGCTGCGTCTGGGCGGGAAGAATGTATCGCAGCCTCGCCGTGAGAAGCCGAGGCCTGTGCGCGGGTCCCGCTTTAGGCTTTCACGAGGCTCCTTCTTCCCTCTTACTTCAGGCACGAGGAATCCCCAAACTCTCTTCCGGAAGAAGGCGAGGGGGCGGTGCGCGGAAGCTTCCGGACGAAAGAGTCCACGAGACGAGCGGACGTTGAGTGGCGGAGAGAGCGCCGCTTAGCGGCCGGTTCTACTCGAGGATTGGACTCTATGACTCCGCGCCCGTGTTGCCATAGCAGCCCAGCGCGAGGATTTCATAAGGGCGGGGTATGGCGCCTTTTGCAGTTTGGGCTTGGTTCCTTGTTGCGGATCTAAAGGAGGACTGGGCTCTTTCCTTAAGGTTGCAGCTGCATCAGCATCCGGGCTATTTTTGATTACAGCGCTGGCCCCTTTAGCAAGGAAACCTAGTGGCGGTTTTAAAAGAAAATTAGAACGTTTTCTTAAACGGGAAGCAGGATTAGGTGAAATGGTCCAGGCTTAGTAGGTGGCAGCAAATACAGGTAGTCCTCGACTTACAACATTTCTTAGTGGCTGTAGGAGGTTAGCACCCACCCCTTTCCTGGAAGAATGAAATATTTTGGGAAATATTAAAAAGGCAGAATATTATATTTCCCTGGATGAGAAATGAATAATCATGTTTTGAAGCAGCTCCCATCTTCCTGCCCCCACCCTTTGTCAATGGGCCATTAAGGCCTGGACCAGTCTATTCTACTTAACAAAGATCTACCTCCTTCAGGCAGAGCCATAGTAGGAATTGCCAAAGATCCAACAAAGATAGGATTAGCCCTCTAGACAATAGCAGCAGAAACTCACCACATGTGACCTGGGAAGTATGTGACCTGGGAAGCACATGTGACATCAGCCAGCAAGGCTAGCTAAGACCCCCACCCCCTGGGAGTCTGACAACCAATCAGGATACTGTTTCGGGGCCCCAGGAAGTTCAAAGCCAGAGAGAACATAAAACCGGAAAACTTGCGGTATCTGCCCTTTTTCTGTTCAGGAACTCAAGCCATGTGATCCTGTCCACTATTAAACCATCTTTCCAAGCAGTCTCCATGTTTCCAGTGTCTTTTCCCCACTTGGAGCAGAATCCAGAAGGATATTTCTTCCAACAGTGTCCATTCAAAGTTACAGCAGCTCTGAAAAAAAAGTGACCATTGTTCAAACTTACGAACGGTGCAGCATCCCCGTGGTCAATATGATCAAAATTCCAGATGCTTGGCACAACTGGTTTATATTTAGGACGGCTACAGTGTCCCTGGGATCAGCTTTTGCAACCTGACCAGCTAAGTCCAGATTCACTTAACAACCGTGTTACTAACTTAACAAATGCGATGATTCACTTAACAACAGTGGCAAGAAAAGTTGTAAAATGGGGCAAACCCACTTAACAAATGTCTCGCTTAGCATATAAATTTTGGGCTCAATTGTGGTCATAACTGGAGGACTACCTGTAGAATGAGTGGATTTTGTAGCTCCCTGCTGCCATTTAAGGGCTGGATTCCCATAATACACTGGATCACAAGCAAGAGAGCCACTTTAAGCCAGCGTTACCTTAAAGTTGCTGAGGTGTTTCTCAACCTCGACAACTTATAAGAGAACACTGAGGCACCAGATAAAATGTGGGTGTCTATACAAAATTTCTTTCTTTCTTTTTCTTGTTTAAATTATCTATACATTCTACTTGTCTATAATTGTTCCAACTGTGTTGGCTGGAAACATGCGGAAGAGGCCTTTATCCTGCAGTGGATAGGCAATGGCTAAAATGATGATGAATTCTACTTTACACACAGATCTATTGGTTTAAGGCTGAAGTTTACATTGCAGTTACATCTACCTGGAGATGGAGAGGAGCATGTGAGATTCCTTTGGAATCTATTAAGCAGGACAATAAAATAACTAATGACACCTTGGATGGCTACCTCTACAAGTCTGCTGTTGAGCCAGCTGCCTCTCCAGTGGATGGGTCAATTTTGTACAGTATGCATAGAATGAGAAATGAATTCTACTTAAATATATAAACAGATTATTACATTGTAACTAGTTTTTTAAAAATATTGCATTTTATTAAAGTAGCTTTTTTATCTAGGGGGGGCAATTAATTTTCCCAAGGGACCATATGAGGGTCACCATCTCCCCCTCCAATGACACTCCCCACCCTCTGCTGACACCACCAATGCTGCAGGCTGGACAGGGACAGCTGAAAGGCTGGATGTGGCCCATAAGCCATAAAATGCCCAGGTCTGCTCTACAGAGTATTAGAAAATAACTCACTGCTCGAGTCCTACCCAAGGACCTAGGAACTGTTAAGGTATCGTCGAGGATGTAAGCTGTTCCGAGTAAGGTGGTTTTTTGTAGAGTCAAAATGTTCAAGTCCGGCAAATTTAGAATTTCTAAATAGCGGGGTAGCCCTTTGGGTATTGCTCCAAGGGCTCCAATTACAATCGGGACAACACACGTTTTCTTTTTCCACAGTCGCTCAACTTCAATTTGCAAATCCCGTACTTTGTGATTTTTTCTTGCTGCTTATCTTCAATCCGTGCATCACCAGGTATTGCAATGTCAATGAACCATACTTTTTTCTTTTCAATTATTGTTATGTCAGGTGTGTTGTGGACCAAGTGCCTGTCAGTCTGAATCCTAAAGTCCCACAAGATCTTGAGTTTCTCATTCTCTAAAACTTTCTCAACCTGATGTTCCCAGTGGTTTTTGCTGTACTCAAATCCAAACTTCTGGCACAATTTCCAGTGAATGATCTTAGCAACATCATCATCATCATCATCATCATCATTATTATTATTATTATTATTATTATTATTATTATTATTAGAAACTATTGAGATTTTTTACAAAACAAAAAAGTAAAAAAAAAAGAGAAAAAGGAAAAACAAACATTCAAACAAAAACATAAAACACATACGTATAATAAACATTTTCAATTCGTATCGGATGTGCAGTGTTTTAACTATTTACATAAATAGTACTTGGTGACATTTCAACTCACTTTTAACCAATATTTAACACACCTTTAGATCTTTCTTTCATTTTTCATGCAACCACTTGTACCACCTTTCCCACACCATATAGTAAACTGACTTCTCATCATTTAATTCATAAGTTAATTTAGTCATCTCTGCGCACTCGAGTATTTTCTTAATTGTAAGCTCTTCTGGTGGTTGAGTTTTCTCTTTCCAGTACTGTGCGTATGCCAATCTAGCGGCTGTAATTATGTGGATCATTAAATGTGTCATTTCCTTTCTATATGGTTTCTTTATTATTCCCAGGAGGAAAATCTCTGGTGTTAGTTCAATATCTTCGTCAATTATTTCATATAACCACCTCCTAATTTTATTCCAGTATCCTTTCGCTTCCGGGCATGTCCACCACATGTGAAAGAAGGTGCCTTGACCATGGCCACATTTCCAACAGTTGGGATGTATATTGGGATATATCTTCGCTAGTCTGGCCGGGCTAGGTACCATCTATGAAACATTTTGTAATGGTTTTCCTTATATGCCACCGCTCTAGTCAGTTTTAAGATTTCTGTTCCATGCCTCCTCCCATTCCCCAGAATTTATATCGCGCTCTATATTTTTCTCCATGCAATTATTTGGTTCTTTGTGACATCTTCGAACTTATCGTCGCTTAATAAATAATTGTATAGTTTTGCCAGAATCTTTTTATTTGTTCCCATCAGGACTTTATCCAATCCATTTGGTCCCAGTTCTAGACCGTATTGTTCTTTGTCTCTCTGATATCTGGATTTTACTTGTGAGTAGGGCCACCAATCTAAAATTATTCCTTGCTCTCGTAAGGTGTCATTTGGTTTAAGCCTCCCTCCTTCGTCTAAAATACCTTTATATCTGCCCATTTTCTCCCTCTCCCTCCCACTATTTCGGTGGGTCAGGGCCTCCATCGTTGAGAGCCAATTTGGGATTTTTTTGTAATATTTTTGCCAATCTGGGTCCATGTTTGTATCAAGGAGTCTCTAATTTTATTCTATGGAAATGTGTTTTCCTTTTCTTCTCCGTGTCCCAAATGTAGGCGTGCCACCCTTTTTGCAAGTCATGGCCTTCTAAGGTAAGAGTTAATAATAAGGTATTATTATTATTATTTTATTATTATTATTATTATTATTATTATTATTATTATTATTATTTTGGTGCATTTAAGTTAGCCTTGAATCTTGGCGACTGCCTGGACCAGTCCCTGTAGTTTCCTTGGCAGTATTTTGAGAAGTGGTTTGATATTGCTTAGGGCTGAAAGAGAGTGACTGGCCCAAAGTCACCCATCTGCCTTCCATGCCTAAGGTAAAAATAGAACACTGTGTCTCCTGGTTTTTAGCTTGGTGCATAAAAGCTTTCATGCTTTTACTGGCTTCTGTTAAAAATATAATGTGAAATTCCTATAGAATTAATTATTTGCAATTTGGTTCTAAATCTGAAATAGCCTTGAACCCTTTAATAAGGACTAACAACTATTTCAATTTGATACTCTTATTGATGGTGTTTATTTTATGGAAAACTTTGAACCATTCACTAGAGGGCAGTCTTGCATAGACATATTGTATAGCAGTGATAAACTCAATGAAAACAGCAGTTGCAATTCAAGAAAGCTTGACTTCTCAAAGTTGAATTGAGGACTTTCTTTAGATTGCTTACAGTATTGTGTAGATCTACAGTATTCCGTAAGTATGTGAATTTAAGATAACAAACATAACTTCCTTCCCTCAGCCTTCCATCCTTCCGAGGTGGGTAAAATGAGGACCCAGATTGTTGGGGTTAATATGCTGACTCTGTAAACTGCTTAGAGAGGGCTGTAAAGCACTGTGAAGCGGTATATAAGTTTAAGTGCGCTATTGCTATAACTTATAGCAGGGGTCTCCAAACTTGGGAACTTTAAGACTTGTGGACTTCAACTCCCAGAATTCCATGCATGGAATTCTGGCTGGCATGGCTGGCTGGGAAATTCTGGGAACTGAAGTCCACAAGTCTTAAAGTTCCCAAGTTTGGAGACCCCTGATTTATAGCATGGAGTATTCCTGTTCAGGG